CTCCAAACCTGCTCATGAATCATCCACGTTATTTATTTGTACTCTTGGTCAGCAGATGGTGCTAAAAATCAAAACTCAAATCTCAAGTGCGTGCGTGTGTTCCAAAAAGGTGACGCTGATTCCGCTTTGAGGGGGATTCGGCACTTAAGTTCTGTTACTGCTGTTTGCACAAACATGATTTCCAATGGCTAATGGTGATTTTTTTTTTTTAAATGATTAGTTAGGGGAGGGTAGGGTGTGCTTGTGGAACACAATGCAGCGCATCTTCATCCCACCCCAGCCTCCCCAAAAGGTTTGTATTGTTCACAGCTTTAAGGAGTTTTAACACGCACCAAATGGTCCTCACTAAAGCGAGTTTTATCATCGTTCTGTCAGTCAGAGGCTTGGAAAGTGTATTTTTGAATGGAGAATAAAATGGGAAAAGTTGTCATGCTGTCTTGCAGGATCTTTGTGGAGTTTCCAACACGTCATTTTTGACTTAATTAGCTTGCATTCTCTATTGGAAAACCTTTTAGGGTATCGATAATAGAAGTAACAATTAGCTTGGAGTCATTTTGGGGAATTTTGATTGATCAAAAAAAAAATTAGAAAAGTTTACTTTTTTTTTTTTTTTAATCTCAGCATTCATTCTAAGATACTTTTTTTGAAATGTGCTTTTCTCCCTCTGACATTCAACTTGTTCTCTAAAATAAATATACAACTTATTTTTATACACACATACACACATTTTCCGATGCGCTTAATCCTCACAAGGGCCGCGGGGGAGGGTGCCGTAGCCTACCCCAGCTGTCTTCGGGCAGTAGGCGAGGGGACACCCTGAACCGGTTGCCAGCCAATCGCAGCGCACAGAGAGAGCAACAACCATGCGCTCACGCTCACACTTCGGGACAATTTAGAGTGTTCCATTAAACTGCAACACGTTTTTGGATTGTGGGCAGAAACCGGAGTACCTGGAGAAAACCCACACAGGCACGCGGAGAACATGCCAACTCCACACAGTCAGGCCGGAGCTGCGTTTGAACCCTGCACCTCTGCACTGTGAGGCCGACATGTTAACCAGTCGGTCACCGAGCCGCCACGCTCCAAACAAAATGTCCAAAATGTTTGGGCAGCTATTTTAAAGATTTAGATAAAGCAAGGTGTTCTGGGAAATAAAGTGCCGTTCTATCATCAGATTGAACAATTTCTATGTTTTTTCCCATTTTAATTATCTGTTTAATCTGAGTAGGCTTTCAATGTTAATAACAAAAAAAATACTCCACGGGAAAAAAAAAAGTACTTGACTTTTGGTCATTTATTTTTTCGGAAAAAGCAGGAACATTACATTGGTTTATCACATACAGTATTAACCACGTGCAACCGATTTACATTTTCGAATTAAGTAAATCCAAAGGATACTTTTTTTCAGTGTCCCCTTTACTATAGTTACTATAATTTAGTATTGCTGTGAAGCTTGTTGTTGAATACACTTTTCATTTTGCAACATGAATATCCTGCAATTTGAATTTCGCTTGTTATTCTGCTTCCTGTTTGCCACCTCAACTTAAATTCAAGAATTGAGATATGCATTTCCGGGTCGTTCTCAATTCAATTCCAAATTTCATACGGCCCCAATATATACCGTATATAATCCAACAATGATCAATATATGATTAGAACTTGAATGCCAATGTCCATCAAAATTGTCTTTCTAAATGTTTGAATACTTTTAGTGTCATTTATTTGTACAGGTGTGCCTAAATATCTGGACAGTGATCGTGCATTCGGTGGAAAACGATCCATTCATAAAGTGGTTAACCCGAAAGGTGTGCCTGTGCGTGTACAAATATTGACATCTTTATTCTTTTTTTTTTTTTTTTTTTTTTTAACCAGAAGATTCCGTGACATCCCATCGGCCTCACACCTTTCATAAATGCTCAGTCAACACGTTGGTTTTGTTTGACAACCGCTGTCAAGTTAAACAGACGCCACAAAGCACATCACACAAAAATATCACAATTGACAAAATTAAAAAAAAAAAAA